GCGAAAAAGGTTCATTATAGTTGTTGCGATACGTACGTGCGCCGCAAACATTATGTATGCTCGGTATCTGTTAGGGTAACATCTCTCCCTGCCATCAAATCAAGCTTTTCATACTGAACGACACTGAAACAAACCACGGCACACGCTACAATAACATGCACGCTGCAGCTGCACTGGTAGAAAGAGTGCGTACTCTAGTATTCACAAGTGCTTGCCAGTAAACATTCCACCTCTTCCAGTGCTTCGCAGTGCGCACCAGCATTACAGCGGTTGAACCAGCGTCCTACCAGTGCGACACAGTTTTTTCCAGTGCGCCCAACGAAGTGCTAGTGATTACAAGCGTGTATCAGTATCTCCAGCGCATACCAGTGCCAAACGCGTACTGGCATCACGGTGTTTTTGCAATAGGGCGTACTCTTGCTGATAAGATAGCTGTCTACATCAGTCCAAACCAAAAATACTAGAATAATATTCTGCCAATCCTCACCGTTGCCTACAACACGACCGTACAGCACACCACCAGATATTCGCCGTTCTACCTCGTTTATGGACGTTGCCCTACTTTCTTTCTTGACGTTCCCTTTTCAACAGTGACGTCAACTCGTCTTCGTCTTCCAGCGAGGAATACATTTCAAGACTATCCCGGTGTCGATATCGTGCTCGCATCAATACGGAGGCGCGACAGCAAGATAGAAAAGTCATTTATGACGCATCTCATCGCCTTGTATTATTCCGACAAGGTGACGAGGTGCTCCTATTCACACTTATTGGTACACCTGGTCTGTGTGACAAGATTCAGCCACACTTCCTTGGGCCTTACATAGTTATCGAGCAGACTTTGCCCCTTTAATGACCGTGTGACCCCACTTGTCGTTCCAACAGACCACCGTCACCGTACCACAGAGACCGTGTACGTGTCTTGCATGAAGCCTTTCAGGCGACGTTCTCTGTCACATTGACCTTTTACGGCCAGATTGGCCGCTTCGATGTGGGAGGAATCAGGGTGGGCATTTGTCATGCGCTTCTTTTCATATATGCATTATTATATTCATCATCATCCACCTGGGTCCATGTCCTTATCTTCACTGGGTGTCACCACAATCATCATTGTGTGTGTGCACGCTCGGTCTCAAGCGGCCCGTTCGCTTCCGAGTCCTTGGGCTGAATAAACGCTGTCTCAACCCAGACGTCATAACATTATGGTATAGCTCACAAAACCTACTCGTTCATAGATCTCAGCATTACATGTGCATCACTTCTACCGCCACCTAAATAAATTGTCATCAATAATTCTTACGAAAGTGACCACTTTACAATAATTCTGAGCATATTAATACACTTTAAAACTGCAGTTATTTTCTGAATGGTGAATTCCTTCATCAGCAACCAATGTTTAGGTATCTAGGCGTAACCTTTACGGCCGACTGTTCTTGGAATGCGCATGTGCATGCTGTGGTTGCGAAAGCCCCAAATCACTAAATTTCATTTATTGTAACCTGAGATCTTCACCTGCTGCTTTAAAAATACTGCGTATATTTCATTTGTCCACCCGATTATCAAAGATACCTGTTGTGTGTTGGATCCACTAAAAAGTCTTTGGTTGATCTCATTGAGAGACTACGAAACTGAACGGCAAATTCGTTCTAAGGCGGTATAAACGAGGCGACATGATTGATTGATATGTGAGGTTGAACGTCCCGAAGCCAACTTTTGATTACGAGAAACGCCGTAGTGGAGGGCTCTGGAAATTTTGACCAGCTGGGGTTCTTTACCGTGCACCCAAATCTGAGCACACGGGCCTACAACATCTTCGCCCCCATCGGAAATGCAGCCGCCGCTGCCGGGATTCGATCCCGTGACCTGCGGGTAAGCAGCCGACTACGTTAGCCACTAGACCACCGCGGCGAGGCGTAAACGAGGCGACAGCTGTACTGAAATGAAAGGCGTGCTGGGATGGGAAGCACTGTCTTCTCGCAATAGGAAATTTCGCGTGAAAATGGTATTTCAGAAATACCACAAAAAAGTGGCATTAACAAAGAGATGTACCTCAAGCCACTGCATCACCTGTTCAAAAAATGAGATCATCCCTTTGAAATTCAAGAATACTGGACTACAACAAATCTATACGATAATTCTTTTTTGTTCACACTGCAGTAGAGTAGAATCATTTGTTTTGTGAACAATTGTGCTGCAATAAGGAAGATTGTTTTTTTTTCATAGCTATAGTTCCCCTGCTTACACGCGTTCAGGCGCAGCAGGGTATTTCTGAATAAATAAATAAATAAATAAAGAAGGTCCCCAGCTGGTTCCCAGATAAATTATGGGCAAGGGTCACTAGAAACAGTTTAAAAGAGCTAATTACTTTAGTTGATGTCAGATGTGTGTACTAAGCATAGATGCAGCTGTAGACTACTTTACAGCTCTTCTAGCTGATGCTGCAACAAAATGTCTCTAGTAAGTTGATCGGACGACCAAACGACGTGTCGCTTGGTTGAATTTCGGGTGTCAAAAGGCGTGTAAACGGCTGAACAAAGCGTAGAGATTGCTTCGAGACTCATTAACAGCCTAAAATCTCGATAGCTGTACGGCAAATAAGTCTCAAGGAAAAATGATGCGCTGACATGCTAGCAGGCAGAGCTAGCACAAATGATTTACCCACAACTATTTGTATACATATGCGCTAAAGTTTAGAGCATGGTTAGGAGGGTTGCAGGATGATTAGCACATGCACTCTAACTTCCAAACATACATGGCGCCAGCTTGGAAAACCAGGCAAATTCCATCGCCACATAGGTGGTCCAGCTCATAGCACTATACTGAAGGGTTTTAACTATACAATGCCTGAATAGAAAGCGAGATACTATAGGGCAAACCCACAACCGAGGAGGCATACAACGAACCTTTTTGTTGTGCCGAGCTACAAGCCTCAATAAATATAAACAACTTCAGAGGGCAGTTTAAACAACTGTTCTCTGAAACCCTTCCCTCTGAAACCCAAATGTTGAAACACCTGCCCTCTGAAACCCAAAATAATGCTAAAACACCTGCCCTCTCAGTGCGGTACAGAATTTGGTCAGGTCTCTGACCCAGGAAAGGCCCATACTTATTCCGATCCTAAAACAAGGCCAGGACCCGTCCTCCGTTTTGAGCTACACGCCAGTAGCGTTGACTAGTTGTTGAAAAGTCTTTAAGAAAATGGTTAACTAGAATTTGATCCACTTCTTGAAATGGCTTGCTTGACCTATACAGGTACAGTTCTCTAACAGCTGAAGTCAGCACCGACCACCCTACCCGTATCGAGGCGAAAATTCGTGATGGTTCCGCTCATAACCATTTTTTCCCTTTGGTCCTCAATGAAGAACACCTATAATACTACATCGTGCTTTTGGATACTCAGAGACCATTCACACTTCACTATGCGTGGTAGAATGATGACCATAATAGATAGCTACTTGACTACTCGGACATGGCATGTTAAATTCGGCGTTGTTTGTTTGCGAACATTTCTCCAAGATGCAGAGTGCCGCAGCGAGGTGCTCTAGTGGCTAAGATACTCCGCTACCGATCCTCAGGTGCAGCGATCGAATACCGGCGGAGGCGGCTGCATTTTCGATGGTGACGAAAATACTGTAGGCTTGTGTGCCCATATGTTGGTGCACGTTACAACCCCAGATATATGAAATTTCCCGAACATTCAACTACGGTGTCTCTCGCAATTAAATGGTAGTTTTTGGACGTTAAATCTCCCATATTATTCATCAACTAGGTGTATTCAGCTGGCACTCTTCATATTGAACATGAATTCCTTGCTCCTATCTCTCCCAAGCAATATATTTTACTTCACAGACGTGCATTATGTACAGGTCTGTTTCAAATCGTGCAAGCTGTCAATATGCGAACGTCTGGTTCAATTATGTTTGAATAAGTTCTCTCAATGGGCACAAGAAAGTGGCTTTAAACTGAAAAGACAACGGAGTGCCTGTGTGTTGTGCTCCCTAAAGAGGGCCCTCCATCCCGACCCCGACTTTGACCTACATGGTCAACGCCTGTCTGTAATGAGTGAAAGTAAATTTTTCGACCTAATTTTCAACACAACACTAACCTTCATACAACACAAGAAGTATTTAAAGAACAAGTGCTCTAAATCATAAATAAAACCACGAATATTTTGTGCCTAGAGCCACGAATATATTGAAAGTGTTGTCATGCACTACGTGGATTAGCGACAGGAAATATCTGATGAACTTGTATAAAAGCGTCATATGCATGCGCCTAGATTACGGTGCTATCACCTATCAGTCTGCGACACCATCAGCCTTAAAGGTGCGGGATCGTGTCCACCATCTAGCCATTCACGTTTCAACGGGTGCTTTTTGAACCAGCCCTATACGAAGCCTCTTCGCAGAAACAAGTGAAGGGTCGCTCCTGCTGTACAGTTGTTACATGTTCTATACATTCTCGATCAAGGTGAACGCAGACGAGGAACATCCCGCTCACTCCTCAATTATTGTTTTGTAGAATTGTATCTTGCGCAATAACGTACCCTCGTTGAGACAGCTCTACTCAATCCTTGTGAAGAACCTCGCTGAAGAAGCAGGCGTGCCAGTTATAAAACACCCTTTCATGGCTCCTGTAGTATACCCGCCACCGTAGGAATGCCAAGTCGTAGACTGCGATCTATTATTAGTAGAAGTCACTAAACACACACCTACTGTACATGTCCGCACGCACTTTCACGAATTCCAGCTCAAGTACACTTGGCCACAGTTTTTCAAAGATGCCGTAAAATCTCACACTCATGTGTCCTATGCAGCTGTTGGCCTATTTTTTACTCTCGGTATTCTGCAATGCCATCCAAGCATCTGTACCGCAGAGGTTCATAAAATATCTGTGGCCGTCAAGCATATTAAAGAACTGGAACTTCAACGCGCAATAACACACAAAGATTTGCTGATCTGAAGAACTACTTTAAAAACTCTAAAAAAAACATGAAAATCATGTCCTTGCGTCCCTTTACACTCTTTAATGCATAATGTACGCTCTCAAATCACATGTTGTAGTGTGCTGGGTACCAGGGCTTTGTGATATCAGAGGAAATGTGTTGGCAGATCAGGTCGCTGCATGCGCTCAAAACAACTCTGTCGCCAATACATGCGTAGCTGTCACTTGACCTCAAGCCTTTGAGCACTTGACCTCAAGCCTTTTCTACGACGGTAGCTCAACGCGTAGTGGCAGCGCCTATAGGATAAGTAAAGGCACAACAAATCACATTTAATCAAACCGAAAATGGGAAATTGGTGAACAGTGTCCGAAACACCCTATACACAACTCACATTTTCCAAACTAAAAGTAGGACACACACACACACACACACAGCACACATGCACAATCAATGTATAGTGGTGACTAACCCATCTGTGAAAGATGTGGAGAATCGATTACGGTTCTCCACATACTCTTAGAGAACTGTAAGATGCTCTCAGGAAAAAGCACGTTTTATTGTGTTACCAAGAGCAGACCCCCTATTACATCCTGTCGTGCTCACTGGTAGTAATTCGCGCTCTTAACTTCAATCTTTGTGCGTGGTTTATAAGATATACATAATTTAACTCGATATACTGAGGTGATCTGTAGCACGACCACTGGACAGAGACCAGGGCTGTGGTGATCAGAATAAATACAGCAGCTTTCTCGTGGTCTTGGTGATCAAAATCATAGATTGATGAGGCATTCGAGTTATTCTGAGATCTGCTCTCTCTAGTTTTATTATCATGAACACTGCCCTTTATTCCAGATACACGCATTTCACGTCGCCTTTATAATTTTAATACTTGTACGTTTTAAGCTGACTGAGGGCGTGAAATTTTAGGCTTTTCTACATCCCCTCACAGGGGCGTCGAAGCAACCAGGCGTTTGGTGTGCAGTGATACAACGAAGCCGAGCTAACGGGGGGTCTCGTCTCTCTCTCACGCCTAACCGTGCGTGGCTAAGCCGTGTCTGGAGAAAATTGCAATCGGGGTTTGAGCCAACTCCGGGTGACTGGACCTCTAAGGCCCCAGGCAGGAGCAACACACCCCTTTGGCCCCAGCTGCACACAGACCTCACCAATGGGCTAATTCACCCAGAGGAAATATTAAAACGCGACTGCCAATTATCGGCAGTCACCTTTGCTCGTCTCTCTCTTTTCACAAATTTTAGTATTTTTGTCCTCTCTAAATCTATCCTGTCCTCTCCTTTTTACTTACTTCATTGTTTCCTGGCGGCTAGGGTTAACCTTGTGTGGCTATTCTACCTAGGGGTAAACCGTATTTTGTTATAGCAATGGCCTACTGTTGGCGTACTGCAGACTTGTTCACATTATCTGCCGCATGCCCTTGTTGGGCTCCGTGGCTGGTAGTACGCGCCCCTTACGGAAAGCAGCTTTTTCGTGGGACAACCCCATCCTTACACTATCGTGCTCTCAAAAGGGTACGCACCGATGCATCCGCTCTCCTTTTCTCTCAATGCATTCAAACCTTACCAAAGTAGCATGTTCTTCACTGCTAACAATCCTCCACCAAAGCCAGAGTGATTTCACGTTTCGACGTGGCCAATTGCTTATAAGACACCATAGGCATCGGCTATAAGGCCACAAATACGGCAAGTGCACGTGACATTGCCCCGCAGGAGTGTCTACGCAAGTAGGCGCTTGGTGTGAGGCGACAACACGGACCCGAGATAACGAGTTGGGGGGGGGGGGAGGGTTCGGCTTCCTCACACGCATAACCGTGTGTGGCTTTGCCATGTCCGGGAAAAGGAGATCCTGGAGGTTGACCCGACACCAAGTGATTGCCGGCAGAGGCAACACATCCCAGTGGCCTCGGCTTCGCGTAGACCGCACCCTTTGGCTGACACACCCAGGGGAAACCGGCAGTCTCCTTTCCTGTCTCTCTCTTCCTCCTCCATTCTGTTTATTCCATCTTCCAGGCGACAAGGTTTAGCCTAATGTATGTACCCTCTGGGTAATTCGACAGCCATGCTGGCATGGCTGTCGAATTTTAAAAGACTTTAGGGCTTCTTTTTCATTTCTTAAATTTTCTTATCGCCCCCCTCCTCATCAGAGGGGGCACACCGAAGCAACAGTCAATGTTATCATCAAGCCAAAACAAATTTGCCCGCGCTTCCTTGTGATTCACTGTAAAACACAATAAAGAACGCAAGAACAATTTCTTTGACACTTCCAAATGCCTCTACAGTACCTTCGTTCCAGGTTATGAGGTAACACGTATGTCAAGTGGCGACCTTCTTCATGAAGTTCAAAGCAAGGCTCAGTATGAAAACTTTACAAAACTCACCTCTTTTTGAACCACACCTGTATCTATCGCACAGCAACGTTCCCTAAACAGTTCCCAAGGTGTAGTATCGGGTCAAGACCTGATTAACCTGACAGAGAGCGAGCTCCGTGAGGGCTAAAATGAAGAGCACGTAACACTTGTACAGAGAATTAGAATCAAGCGTGACAACAAAAAACTTTGACAAGCCACATCATTCTTACGTTTTTCACAAGTACACTTCCAGAATATATCGAAACAAGCTACCTGAAGTGAATGGTCCTACCCTACATCCCCGACCACCGACGTTGTTTTGAGTGCCAGCGTTTCGGTCATGGCTCTCAGAGCTGCCACGGCCATCAAACCTGTGCAATGTGCAGCTCGCACGAACACCCTGCAGAGAACTCTGAAGAAGCTCCCCACTGCACAAACTGTGAAGGTGGACGCCCCGCTTACTCCCGCACATGTCTTACATGGAGACATGAAAAGAAAATACGTGCACTCGAAGGAAATGAAAGCATCTAGTTTAGGGAGGCGCGCAAGCGTCTTTCTTGGCAGGGTCCTTTAATAACGGATGTGGCACGAAAGGGGGCAATGCCATGAAATTTTGCTGCGCCGGCACAAACCACACAATGTGGATGGATGGTAGCGCCACCCACCCCCTCAGCATGAGCAAAACATGCTCTTCCGCCACCAAAGAGCTTGCAGGCCTCCGTACCTGCAGCCCCAGGGCCTTCTGTTCTGACAGAGAGCCCTAAGATTCCCCTGTGCGTACGCGTGAGCCACAAGCGGGAATCTAGCTCCTCGTTAGAGGTAATGCACACAACATCAAGTCCAGCGGTGTTTCCAGCGCCAAAAGACAAGCGCGGTACGTTAGAGCGCGCCATAAAGTGTAAAACCATCACGAAGCCTGACAAGGGCTCTCTATTCACACTTATGTTGGATACACAAATTATACAATGGAACATCAGAGGAATGCTTAAGAACCTCAACGATATTTAAGGACTCTTACACAAGCATTCACCAAAAGTGCTCCGTGTACACAAGACTCACTTAAAGTTCAAGAAAAACAATTTCTTATGTTGTTATGTAATATTCAGAAAGGATTGCGATGACGCTCTAGCGTCATTTGGTGGGGTGGCCATTATAGTTTAACAGGGTGCTGCATGTCCACAACTATCATTGTAAACATCCCTTGAGCGAGTGGCTGTTCGAGAAGTTCTTTTCAACAAAGTCGTCACCATCTCCTCCCTTTACACACCTCCGCTGTACCGCCTTGAAAAACATGAAGTTTTGTCTTTGATGGATAAACTACCTGAGCTTTATCTGGTTCTTGGAGACTTTAATGCACATAGTAGTTTATGGGGCATTTCTCGCTGCGGTGCACGAGGTTGTCTAATTGAACAGTTACTTTTCTATTCTGCCGGTTGACATTACGCAGTCTTGCCAACAACACCTAAAGTTCATAGATCTCAGAATTACATCCCATCCACTTTTACCCTTATTCAATAGAAAGTCAAACATAATACCTACGGAAGCGATCCCTTTCTAATAATACTGAGCGCAGCAACAGATCATGCATCTTGTCTACAGAATCCGAGTTGGCAGATTGACAAGGCAGACTGGGCAGAGTTTTAAAAGTTTACTCATCGATGTTTGTCCGACATGCGTGACTTAGGCGTAGGTGCAGCCGTTTACATTTTTACCACTTTTCTATTTGATGTTGAACAAACTGTATTCCACAAACGAGACTGCACAAAACGACGGGCTGCTTGGTGCAATCGGGAGTGTCGAAATGCACGCAAAAAGCAAAATAAAGCGTGGAGGCTGCTTCGGTACTCACTGACAACAGAGAATATTGACAGTTTTAAGAATATTAGGTCGCAAGAAAGAAGAGTGCGTTGGCAAGCTAGAAGAAAGGTTTGGCAGAACGTTTTAACGGATATTCATTGATATACAGATAAGGCGAAAGCCTGGAACATGGTTGTTAAAGCAGCAGGAAGACAAGCACACTGACGTACACTAACGAACACACAAGGCGACAGCTTGGAGGACCAAGCAAACTTCATTGGGTCGCACTTTAGACAGGTCTAGAGCTCGTTGCATTATGCTCAAGTGTTTCTGTGACCGAAAGATAAAATAGAAAAAGAGGAAATAGAGTGCAAATCCACGAAACAAGAGACATACAATAAATCTTTTTTCTCTAGCTGAACAACAAGCTCTGACAAAGTGGTATAAGAGTTGCTAAATCATATGCAATCTGGAACTCAAAAAGGCCATCTCTCCTTGTATATTACTCCATGGGTTTCTGGTGATGCTCCCTCAGCTTGGAAAGAAGCCGTTATTCCTATCCCAAAACAGGGCAAGGACCCGTCCTGTGTGTCGATCTACAGGCCCACCACCCTAACTAACTTCATTTGCAAGGTTTTTGAAAAGGTGATCAACAGACGACTCATGCACTTCCTAGAGACTAATAATCTACTTTACCCACATCAGTTCAGGTTTAGAGAGGGTAATTGACTACTGACCACCTTGTCCGTATTGAGGTACAAATTTGGAATGCTTGCGTCCATAACCAATTTGTTCTCTCTGTGCTCCTCAATATAAAAAAGGCCTATGACACTGCGTGGCACTTTGGCATCATCCGAGACTTGTCAAAATTAGTTGTGTGAACGAGAGTGTCGACGATATTAGGAAGTTACCTGTCCAATCGTACATACCATGTTCGAGTAGGCGCTGTATTATCCCGAAGGTTTGTCCAAGATACAGGAGTGCCATAAAGTGGTGTACTCAGTTGCTTGCTTTTTATTGTAAAAATGGATTCCTTGCGCTTATACATCCGCCGCAATATGTTTCATAGTACATATGTCGACGACTTAGAGGTCGTTCTTGAGTCATGCAACCTTTCCACGTGTGAACGACAAATACAGCTAAGTTTAAGCAAGGTCTCAGAATGAAAAGACGAAACTGGTTTTAAATTGAACCCACAGAAGAGCATTTGCTTCCTATTCTCCAGAAAAAGGTACGTTCATGCAGATCCAGAGATAGGTCTTTATGGTCAGCTTCTATCACTAATGACCGAGCATAAATTATTTAGCTTTATACTACACGCAAAAATAACTTTCATACCCCACAGCAAATAAACAAAAATAACTGTTTAAAAACCACGAATGTTCTGAAAGCTTTGTCATGCACCACGTGAAGTAGTGACAGGAAGTGTCATCTTTATCTGTATAAAAGCCTCATTCGCACTTGCCTAGACTACGGAGCGGTTGTCTATCAGTCCGCCACAGCAACTGCCCTGAAGATGCTAGACGCCGTTTACCATCTTGGCATTTGTCTTTCTACGGGTACTTTTCGCACGAGCCCTGTAGAAAGCCTCATCGCTTGATAAAAAGAGTGGTCGCCTTGCCTGCAGAATTCTTTCATGACTTTTGTGTATTTTGTGAATAGAAACTGTGGCAAGGAACCTTCTGCACACTCTACAAGTAACGATCTCTCCAGTTCAGCCTTGTTTGACAACCATCCTTTCTTGAGGCAGCAATACTCACTTTGTGTAAGAAGCCTAGCTCAGGAAATGTGCATGCCACTTTTCGAACACCATCTGGCAGCCGCCGCTGCAAATCTCCCACTGTGGCAGTGGCAACTCAACATTGCGATGCTTACTTCATGGAGGTTACTAAACATGCACCTACTGCACATATTCGTACACACATCCTTGAACTACAGCACAAATACACTTTGTCAGAATTCCTTACCGATGCCTTCAAATCTCATACTTCTTTGTCCTATGCTGCCGTTGTTCCATTTCTTTCAGATGTAGGTATTTCGCTCCCAATACGAGCTTCTTTACTGCTGAGGCATACGCGATATTATCGGCCATAAAACACCAAAGAAATGAAGTTGGCAGACGTTGTGATATATACTGATTCTCTAAGCGTGGTAACAACGCTGACAACCTTAAAATACACACAAAGCACGCCCTTCGCTCCGTTTAGTCACTTTGTGCATAATACACGCACAGAAACAATACGCCGCAATCTGCTGGGTGCCAAGACACGGCGAGATTCAAGGAAACGTGTTTGCGGATCGACTAGCTGCTTCCACCCACGAGAATGTCATTGTCAATACATATATAACGGTTACTGCACTTTATCTCAAACACTATCTTAAACGAAAGCTGAGGAATCATTGGAAGCAGCTGTGGGACACACAAACACAAAACAATTTTCGCCTCATTAAGCCACGTCTTCTGAATTGGCCGCCAGTTTCGAGATCACGCCACAGAGAGGTCATACGTGCCAGATGAAGGATAAGACACACACATAGCAATCACTCACACCTTTTGTCCGGTGGTGATTTACATCTATACGATAAGTGCGGTGAACCACGCACAGTACTTCATGTTTTAGTAAAGTGAACAGACTTAGAAAAACTTCGAAAAAACACTTCCGGTTATGCTCCCGCCATCAAATGCCCCTGCACCCATCGATGTTTATAGGTAGAGAACCGCTCTTCTGTTATCAATCACTCTTCGCGTTTTAAAGAATGTCAATAGTTTTAACGTCATACTTCCTGGCATTCGCATAGCGCGGCCTCTCAGAGAAGAGGTTGCTGCTGCGCTGAAACGTTAAATTAGCAGCTGCCTCGTGACCCTTAGACACAAGGCTTATCGGTGAGGCATTCGTCCTAATGTCATACACCTCATTAAAACTTCACGACCAGGGTAATTGATTTTTGTTAGAAGCATTTCTTGCCACCCTCTGAAGAGTGCAATTTCAAGGCCCTATACAGCCACATAACTGCCTCATTAGTCGCAACTCTAACATGTCACCGCAAACCACACATCAATGATTTTAATGGAATTTTTCCTGGAGCTCCTTGGCCAAGTATGGCCCTTGCGCCAATAAGAAGCCACATTTCATTATCAAGTGGGGATATTCATGATTATTTATATATGTATTTAACGTCGAAAACCACCTTATGAATATGAGAGACGCCGTAGTGGAGGGCTCCGGAAATTTCGACCACCTGATAATTGGGGACATTCAACCCCACATATCAATCGTAAGCGCTCATCGCACCGTGAACCCAGTGAAGGGTAGAATATTCGATAGACTTGATGGCACTCACCAAAGATGAACTCTTTGATGGATGGAAGGAGCAAGACATAACACATGTGCAGTGCACAAAAAGTGAGACGCAACACTCGAATTGCAACAAAGCACCTCATACTTACTTTGAACTCAACCATTCTACCCCAGACACTCGAAATCGACTACGTCAATATTTCTTTGCGTCCGTGCAATTCTAACCTGAGTCGTCATTTTAAACGCCAGTGATCTGAACATGGAACTCACACTTGCCGAGGTCAGGGGACTTATGGTAAATGCGGCACAGCTGGTCATGGTACTGATGAATGCGAACACGATGATGTTCACGGTGCAAACTGCAACTGCAGCCACAACACATACTCCAGAGCGTGGCCAGCCTGGAGAAGAGAAAAGAAAATTGTCGCCTTAAAAGTTAACGAAAATATATAATTTCGTGAAGTACGACAACAAGTCTCAACTTCTTTCTCCTTAAGAATATCCTTCGCTGAAATGCTGCAAACAGGTTTGGTGGCTCCACAATGGCCCTTTGCGGATACTTGAACCACGCCTAGCGTGCCCAGGTAAATGTAACCTGCTTCTTCGGTGGCATCTGCCAGCGCTGCCTTGTCCACAACCAACTGGTCCACACCGGTGGGCTTTACAAGCCCTGGCAGCAGCCAGAGCAGTGAAGAGGCTAAAGAAGTTCCAGAACCTCCAGGCCGGGGGGGGCAATGACTTCTTCAACTGAGGCGGAGTTTAAGCGACACACAGATCACTCTGTAGAGCGGGTGTCCAGTGCGTCGCAGGAGGCTATGGACACCACCTATAGCCAAAGGACACCGGTAGCGTCATAGGAGCGGCGTTTTCTTTTGGACCGCTTCAAGAAAGACAAAACACCAAACACCAAATACAGGGCCTCACAAAGGCCCTTTAAAATGAACCACTCTAAGTATTGTATACACAAAGTACTTTTTTCCAGTTCATTATGGGTAAAATCATTCAGTGAATTGTTAGAGGGCTACTCAAAAATCTAGATGACGTTCAAGAATTTCTTAATAGGTTTAACCCACAGTGCTGTGTGTGCAAGAAACACACATAACTTCTACATACAGAAACTTTTTCCACCATTACTTTCCAAATGAACCATGAAGATGCTTTTATATTACAGGCGAAGTAGCATTTATTGCTGATCAAGATGTGGTATGCCAGCAGATGAAGCACCAGGCAGTCAATGAGACAGTGGCCATTCGAGCAGTACTTTTTAACAAACTCATTGCCTTATGTTCCCTTTAATACCACCACACCATAAGCTTAACAAACGCGATTTGAAATCATTCTAGATGAACTACCTAAAACCTTTTTATTTTAGTGATTTTAATGCAGACAATGTCGTGTAGCGTGATTCTAGTTGTTATGCTCTAGGACGTCTCATTGAACAGCTTCTTTATTCGTCTAGCTTATGACTCTTGAATACAATGGAGGCTACGTATTTTAGCCTTGCGAACAATTTGTACTCCTCAAGAGATCTTGGCGTTTCATCTTTGTCTCTATTCGCTGATTTTAAATAAAATGTCCTCAAAAATCCTCATGGGAGTTACCACTTCCCAATCGTCCTGAGCACACCGAACAAAGGCCAACTACCTCCGCGTGTTCCGAGTTGGAAGCTCGACTCAGCTTATTGATAACAGTGTCAGACTCTTACCCACCTGACATGCAATGACTTGTTCGCTCTGATCAGAGATGATGCAGTCGCGCATGTTTTATTTTACTTATTTATTTATTTTGGCATTTTCATAAAATGGCCGGAAAGGGGGCAAAAGGAGAGAGTGTCTCCTGACTTGGCCCACTCATCGTGAGGCATCTCGGGCAGGTACAGCAAAACAGTACATAGAAACATTCAAGAATATTCATACAGCTTATAAATAAACGAGGAAGACTGCAACAATGACAAAAATATTGGTTAAATATTCAAACAAACTGTTCTTTAGCGATAAATATAAAAGGCATTATCAGCACTAACATATATTTGAATACATAAAATTGGTGTGTAATACGAAAAACATTCATAAAATCATTGATTACAATAAAAATATTTCACCAACTACAAATTTTCAGCACATGCACCCTGCTCCCCACGGTGGTTTAGTGGCTAAGGAGCTCGGCTGCTAACCCGCAGGTCGCGGGGTTGAGACCCAGATGCGGCGGCTGTATTTCCGATGAAGGCGGAAACGTTGTAGGCCCATGTGCTCAGATTTCGGTGCACGTTAAAAACCCCAGGTGGTCAAACTTTCTGGAGCCCTGCACTACGGCATCTTTCAGAATCATATGGTAGTTTTGCGACGCTAACCTCACATATTAATCAAAGCACATGCACCCTATAGGTGAGTTTGGATTATTAAATTCCTAATTTGCTTCTTAAATTTTGTAATGTTTTTCGCCTCCCAAGTCCAAGCAGTTACTTCAGGTATCTTGTTGACAGTAAAAGAATTTGGTTATTAATTGACGATATGTCATTGTTAGTCTGACACATCGCTTCACCAACGCAAAAGTACTTAGATTGTATGTAAGACCTCTGCTTAAGCATGTATCAGGTAAATTGTGATACTTATTTTTTATAGAATAACATGGCTAGTTGTGCCTCGTAGTACTCTGGGAATAGTAGAACGTTGTACACAAAAAGGACGTATTTATGGGAACCGAGGTAGTTAGCAGACGTAATGCACGTTTTCGGAGAAGAATGCTTTCAATGTTTCATTTGTTACACGTACCCAGACTAGAATACAATATGTGATTTGCGAGTGGATAAAATAAGAGTTTTACTACCGTTTTACTCTCCGTGGAAGTAGATGTTGGAAGCATTGAATTAAACCAATAGATCTTCATATCCTCAATTGAAGCTTATCCACATGTTCGGACCCACTAAAATCGCTTTGAAAACATAGCCCAGAAATGAAGTTTGTCTACCTAAGAAATACTCTCACCATTGAAAATTATAGAAATATGTGTTCTGCAAGTCCATTTTTCTGCTTGAAGAGCATAAATTTTGTCCAATTCATCTAACTTTGAAGTATATGAGGACGTTCCAGTTTAAGTGAGCCCATATAATACAGTGCGTGGTGTTGTCTCTAATGACAAACTTTTTGTACTGTCCGAAAAAAAATTATTGAAATGCTGACAAGACCAGAATGCAGTCAACTTCCAAAGAATAGTTATACAACGAGGCAAAAGCGAAACACACAAGAATACCTAATCATCACCTTTATTACCAGTGACTTACCTGATTCAATTGCAACTGGCTACTGCAAGCTCCGTGTCAGACTTTATACGCGAAATCTTCACACGTTTTTGAAGCGCCAGCGTTTTGGACATGGGTCACACAGCTTCAGAGGGCGCTCTTCTTGCGCAAACTGTGCATTCAACGAGCACTCATCAGATACGTATTTGTCGAAACATCAAGCTGTGCGAACTCTTAAGGAGATTATCCTGCCTATTCGAGATCGTTCAAATACTTGAGGTTAAAGAGAAATAAATTTGTCTTTTCAAGAATGACGTCAACGGTTGTTCCTCCATCAGTCCTGCCCTCTTCGGTGACGTGACGCGTCAGAGTGCTACGCGGACTCTTTTCGTGGCCGCAAAAGTCGCACACATTGTGACTGGGGCTGCACCATAAGCGCCCCCGGCTCGAGCAGTCAGTACTGCTCCACCACCCAACAAACAGGGCCAGCAGACTTCCCAGTCTACCTGATACCGGGACACTCTGCACGTGCAGTGAAGCCCAAACCACCGTGAATGTGTCTGTGGAGCAGGCATCATCCGCCACCTCACAAGATGTGATGGATGCAAGTCCCACTCCTCCAGTGCCCAAGATGCCGGAGAGGTGCTCCTCTTCATAGTGCACTAAAAATACTACGCATTACAGGGCCTCTTAAGGACCCTGTAACCTAAAACAATCCTTCTTGTTCACACAGCACCACACAACTTTATATTGACTCAAACATTATAGTGCGATATCAGAGGACTGCTGAAAATCCTTGACAATATTCATGAACTTTTACACAAACATACACCAAAAATGCTGTGTGTACAGGAGAAACCGAAACACACAAACGTTCTACGTCATTACGTTATATTTCGAAAGGATGGAAATGATGCAGTCGCGTCATGTGGTGGTGTTTCTATTGCTGTGATCGAGGAGCTGCTTGTGCACATTCACCACTTGGCACGCCTCTTCAGGCAATGGTCGTCCAAGGCGTTACATTAAAAAAACTGGTCACAATTTGCTGTATTTCTAAAGTTCTCAGTGCCAACTTTGTGAACAAGAATTCCAAGCATTACCTGATGAACTTCCAGAACCATATCTTCTCCTTGGAGATCTCAACGCACATAGCAGTCTGTGGGGTGACTCCCACTGCGATGCGCGAGATTGTGGGATTGAACGATTCCTTTTCTCCTCTGGCGCTCGTTTCCTGAATAAGAAAGAGGCAACATAACATAGCCTTGCTAACAAAACCTACTCGTCAATTGACCTAAGCATTGTATCTTCATCGCTTCTTACCCTACTTCACTGGAAAGCCATCAGTTATTCTTGGACAAGTGCCGACTAGCCTGTAGTTCTGAGCTCAGCAGTAGCGAATGAATGCCCTTCACAAGTTTCGAAATGGCTGATAGAAAAAGCCGATTGTGAACAGTTTTACAAGATTGCTAGCTTAAGTTGGACTAACTTTTGCGGTTCTAGCTTAGATGCGGCTGTACAATACTTTACTAATTTTTTTAATGAAGCATCAGCTAGGTGCATTCTGCACGCGTATGAACTGGCCGGAAAACGACGCGTTTCTAGTAGGAAAGTGATCGCCGCGTTGCTCGCAAACAATAGCACAAAGTATAGAAGCCGATTCAAGACTCATCGACTGCCAAAAATTTTGTGAATCTTAAACACTTCATATTTCAAAGCAGGAGAACGCATCGACAAACCAGAAGGGAGAACTGGCAGAATTTTTACCTGGAATCAACTTATATACACATGAAGGATGGGTCTGGAACATCGTCAGTAGGGTCGTAGGATGAGAAGCACAATCTCTTCCTCTAGTAGACACAGAAGGCAATGGTTTGGAAGAACAAGCGAACTCCCGTGGTGCACACTTTGAACAGGTCTGCAGCTCATTCTATTACAATCCATCGTTTCAACGATACAAAGCATGAAGTGAAAAACAGAAAATAGAGCGAAAATCCACAAACAATGAGATACAATGAACTTTTCGTCTTAGCTGAGTCACAAGCACCGTTAAAGTGCTGCGACCGAACCGTCCCAGGCTCCGACCGTATAATAGACGAAATGCGCAGACGTCTGCCTTCTTTTTTGTGTTTGTGTAATAATGCCGTTTGGTTATCCGGTGAGATACCTTCCGCCTGGAAAAAAGTAGTCAATTTTCCGAATATTAAACAGGCCTAGCACCCATCTTTACCATCAAGCTACAGGCCAATAGCGTTGACAAGTTGCCTTTGCAAGATTTTTTTTTGAAAAAGATTAACCGACGACTGATGCATTTCTCTGAAACAAACAGCCTGCTTGACTCATGCCAGTGCAGGTTTCGAGAGGCTAATTCCAGTACTGACTACAATGTACGTACTGAGGAAGAAATTCGTGTTGCTTTTCTACACAAACATTTTTTTATTTTAGTGATCCTCGATATCGAGAAGGACTACGACAATACGTGCCGCTTTGGCATACTCCGAGACTTGTCACAATTAGTTGTGCGGGGCGGAATGTTCGCAGTATTCGAAAGCTACCTGTCCAACAGACCGGATATTCCATGTCCGAGTTGGCACTGTCTTATCCTGAATACTTATCAAAGAAACTGGAGTACCACAAGGCGGCGCTTTGAGTTGCTCACTTTTCATATTCAAAGTGAATTCCTTGCGCTTGTCTTTCCCACGCAATGTTTTTTACTGCACATATGTTGATGAAGTGCAGGTTGATTTCAAATCGTTCAACCTTTCAATCTGTGAACATCACGTTCAAGTAGAATAGAAAAAGGTTTCTCAATGGGCAGATCAGAATGCTTTTAAACTAAATGCGCAAAAGAGCACTTTCGTCTTGTTCTGCCGACACAAGGGCCTCCAGCATGACCCCAACATTAACATGCATGATAAAAGTCTGTCTGTGAAGACCTTCAACAAACTTCTCAACCTAATGTTAGACACAAAACTAACCTTCACTTCATACATCAAGTATTTTAAATTATTTTAACGACGAATGTTTAAAAATCACAAATATTTTGAAAGTGTTGCCACACTTTAGGTGGGGTGTTGAAAGGATGTGTCGGATGAATTTATGTAAAAGTCTTGCAGGCACGCGTCTAGATTACGGTGCTAGAATATATTAGTTTGTGAAACCATCAGGCCTAAATATTCTCGACCTTGTCCACCATCTAGGCGTTCGCCTTTCTACGGGTGCTTTTCGAACTGCCCTGTAGAGAGTCTGTACGTAGAATCAAATCTACAGAGATCTTACAGGTCGTTTATAGGCTACATCAACGTTAACGCAGACGACACACATCACATTGACACCACAATACTGATCTCTCCGATTCTACCTCGTTCAAAAACTATCCTTCGATGATACAGCTCTACTCACTCCGTGTCAGGAGGCTCGCTGAGAAAACATCTGTGCCACTTTTAGAACAATGTTTGATGGCTCCAGCAGTATTTCCGCCACCAGGAAAATGGCAAGTTATCTATCTTTCGTTAAGTCACTAAACACGCACCAACTGCACATATTCACATGAACTATTTCGAACTCCAACACAAGTACACTTGCCCAGAATTTTTCACAGATGCTTCAAAGTCTCACGCTGGTGATATCTATGCAGCTGTTGGCCCATCCTACTCAATCTCCGGTATTCTGCACTCCGAAACAAGCATCTTCAAGGCAGAGGTTCACGCGGTATCTGTGGCTGTCAAGCATATACAGCAACTGTTGTACAGCGCCTGGTAATAAACACGGATTCGCTGAGCGTAGTAATGGCTTTGAAAACTTTGCGAAAACAAAGAAATTTTGTCGTTGTGTTACTATGCTCTTTGTTATGCATGATCTATGCTCTCAAACGAAAAGCTGTAGTGTGCTGGGTGCCAGGGCACTGCGAGATCACTAGAAACGTGTTGGCAGATCCACTAGCCGCATATGCTCAAGACAACGTTGCTGCCAACACATCCGCAGCTTCACTGGAGTTGATCTGAAACCTTTTCTACGACAAGTTTTCAGGGCATTCTGGCAGCGCTTCTGGGATAGGTAAACAGAAAACAAACTGCATGTAAGAAACCGAGAATTTAAATTTGACTAACAGTATTCAGATCACGCTACACAGAAACCTCACTTACAAGGCTACATACTGGACACACACACTCTCGACAAATATCTTTTGTCTGGTTGTGATGCACCATTGTGTGAGAGATGTGAGAACCGCTCATGGTTTTCTACATCCTCGTCCAGTGCAGTGATTAAGTGCTCTCAGAAAAAAGCACTTTTCGTTTCCCTACCGGCAACAGATGCCGTTGCGGCTATCAATGTTCATCGGTAGAGAACCCCTTTTTTCACACAAAAATCATTGCTGGCAATTTTAACACATAACGTAGTTTTAACGTCGTTTACTTAGGCGCTCCGTAGCAAGATTATGAAGAGTGGTTGCTGCCGCAGTGGCTACACCTCCATCATTGCCTGCCTATCACGTTTGCCCATTCACTCTCACTGCAGATACTTCACGTCAATATCGTGGCTTTAATGCTTCTATACATTTACCCGCGTTAGCGCGAGCAATTTTAAGGCCTTTCTTAGCGACCTATTATAATCCTTGTTCACATCACTTTCCTATTGAACTTGGCGCTCTTTGGTCATCAAATGGTCCTTGCTCCATAAAACACCACTCATCATCATTATTGTCAAAACGCCTAATTTAATCGGTAGATGTGACTTTGATGTTCATTGTTTTTTAATGCGAAAAATTTCATAGCGAACTTGGGGACTCATAGCGAACTTAAGGATGGTGATACATACCACGCTAATGATACGTTCATGGCACAAACTTGATAATCACAAAATGGAAGTCATGTAAGGCATGATATACAAGCCTACCACTGCTGCTGCTGGCATTGCGAACGTTACTAGTGTCGTCGTTACGCGAGTCTACACAACATATTTGAATCTTATCTAGATACGTGAGTGTGCATAACATTTCTAATTCTGTTCTGTGAACTACAAAGGTCCACCTCGTAACACTGTGTTGATTTCAAAGTTACATATCAACGCGCACCAACAGTGGTTTTCAGATATTGCTTTATTGTGTTGCCGAATGCACTAAATGAACCGGAAATAATTGTGAAAAGGTTTTGTACGCTCTCTAGTACTCCTATTTAAATAGGCTTTATTAGTTTGTTGTAATGTTTTAGGTTTGTGTACTTCTTTCTTTCGGTGTACAGCATGTGAGTTTCCGGTTTGTATAGGTTGATTGATTGATTGATTTGTGGGATTTAACGTCCCTAAACCAGCATATGATTATGAGAGACGCGTTAGTGGAGGGCTCCGGAAATTTCAACCAGCTGGGATTTTTTAACGCGCACCCAAACCTGAGCACACAGACCTAAAACTTTTCCGCCTCCGTCGGAAATGCAGCCGCCGCAGCCGGGATTCAATCCCGCGACCTGCGTGTCAGCAGTTGAGTACCTTAGCCTCTAGACCACCGCGGTGGGGCTGGTTTGTATAGGTTGTATAATTTTTGTTCCATTGCAAAGCGTGTGCATTGCTGGTTGAAACTGTCCTCTAATTATATTTTTTACCGTTTTGTTCCCAAAGTTACCATGAGGATATGGGGTTATTGCAAGCTGTTTTTACACAGCTTTTCCCCCGGTCCTAGCCACTTACTGTACAGCTATACGTGGTAAATAAACTAAACTCTAAACTCTAAACGTTCCTCATCGTGCTTGGCATACTATTGATTCCCACAGTACGTGGGTTATGCCAAATATTTTGTCTTCGTTTGGCTTTTGATTATACGCAACAATCAGCGCAATCATTCAGCTTGAAAATGCCGGAATCTCATGGTAGTTTTCTTATCAATGTTGTTTCCTGTAATAAAGGATTGGTTGCGAGTGAAGCGTTGTGTTTCCTGTGCCTTATTTTCATGTCTGTGTATGGTTGCACGGCTGCTTTTTATTAGGAAAGTGACGACCTTGAACCTTAATATAGGCCATCTTGCTGAAATTATATTCGCAAAAATCACGTAGAATCAAGTGGATGATGATATATCGCTGTGTGGCACAGGTTCGCGGTGACGTGTACGCCTTCTACGGAGTACCTTACGGCCGCAACACTGGGGGACGTCGGCGTTTCTCACCGCCAGAACCAGCTTTTCAGCGCAACGAGGTGATGCGAGCTGACACCCGGAAGCCCGCCTGCCCGCAGGTAACGTCGCTGTGTATGTCCTTGATTGAACAGGTGTCCTATAAGCGTTCCCTACAATGCACAGTTATATGCGGGAATGTAGTCAGCTGTCACATAAACATCCTTTAAGCTGTGTTTTCTAAGCGATAGTTTTGCGAAAATGGCCTATTGCTATTCACTGAATATCCATCTTTTCACTTGAAAACCTAAACGATTCCACACTTGACCTCTATGAACGAACAAATTACGACTGCGGCTCTGTGATGAATATTTAAAGCAAAATGCAAACCGACGCCTAGTAATTTTCACTCTGTTATCACTTTGCAGAATGTTTCCCTAAATTAGTTGAAAGCTTCCACTTTGCTAGGGAAATACCATGTGCGACAACGTCGTACTCCGCTGAAAAAAGCTCTCGGTGCCGTTTTGAAGGTTATAGACGTCAGACTCTGCTCAGGTGGCGTTGTGGTGAATAATCCGACGACCAGTGCTCTCATAACCTCTCTATTCATAACTTATCAATTGATTTATATCTGAGGTTTAACGTCCCACATTCACCATATGATTATGAAACACGCCGTACAGGAGCGCTGCGGAAATTTCGACCACCTAGGGTTTTTAAAGTGCACCCAAATATGAGCACACGGGCTTTCAACATTTCCGCCTCCATCGTAAATGCAGCCACCGCAGCCGGGATTCGATCCCGCGACCAGCGGGTCAGCAGCCCAGTACC